ATGGATTGATGTTGGTTAAAGAATCATTGTTGGTTGTATTTGTAACTTGAACTTTTAAGCTTGCCTATTTCTTATCTTTCATACTTCTCTTTTACATTATGTTTAGACCTGATTTTGCCCAGGAGTGCAAAAGCTAAGTGTGGGGGAGTTGATAAGCCTTATTATTTGCATATATTTTTAGTCCTAAACTTATGCTTTTGCCATTTATATTTACATATTTTGGGTATAATTAGCTTTTATTGTACATAAGAGTTGGTGAAGGGAGTTGTGAGGTTTTATTTGTGTTTTTGTATGATTTTATGTGATTTTATTTGTGTGTACTTTTGATCCTTGTTTGGTGTGAATTTCAAGGAGCTTCTTCAGCATTATGGCCATTCTGTATGAAGCGCCACGGCATATCATTTCAGGCATTGCGGTGGATTTGTAAAAGTACTCTCAGTAGTACCATGGCGGACTATCAAAAGCGCCATGGCAGACTTAGTTTAACAGGGAGCTTAGAATCACTAATTGAAACGACACAGTTTTGGCCAAGCGCTGCGGCGGATATGAGGAGACTCCGCAGCGAATGAAGAAAAATTTCAGATTTAAATACAGAAGTCACGCACTCTTGCAGGGGGCTGGAAATTAGATCTTTAACTAGCAGATCACCACTTTTCTCTAATTCTCTCTTTAAACCTCATCACTGTCTTCATCTGCCATGGCCAAATCTAGATCAGAGCTTGGCATAGCCTTCTTCTCTTCCATGCACAGTTAATCTTCCACCTTCTTAAGAGGTGCGATCGGACCAGAGCCTTTATTCTGACAAGGGAGTCCACCTACGTCTCTGATTCATGATTGATATATGGTTGTATTTTAATCATGATTCTTGACTAGATAGGGATTATTCTCATTAGGATATTTTGTAATCGGATTAGTCTTGTTATGAATCTGGCAATGTATTCCTTGCTACAAAGTAGATTTGATTGCATTGTTGAACCTAGTTTGATTCGGTTTTGTAGTTGAGTCGATTAATACATGATAACTATCAGTTGATGTTATCTTGGAAATTTTCGGTTCATTTATTTATAATTCGATGCTTGCATCCTTCTGACCATAATCGATTCCAATTCTTATCAGGCTAGGAAGGTTAGGTTGCCACTCTTAGGAAGATTTCATCACTGCATTTCTGATCTTACCTCCATCTCTGCCATCTATATCTTCTTAAATCAGAGAATCAAATAAATATCAGATAATTACAGTAATTCAATCAAATAAAATCAATCTTAGTTTTTACAATTAATTTGTGATTGGCATTTAACTAAACTAAGTTTATGAGCAATTGACCTGCTTGTGAATCGACCTAGGGTTGAGCCACTGCACTTCTAAGCTTAATTCTAGTATCTTTGAGAGCCCCTAATGACAAGGCTTTATCAATAATACTTCTACCAAATTTCATAGCTTAACTCATACATTTAATAGGTCAAACTGGAGCTGGAAGTTGACTGCTCCAGAACCAACGTCTTATCCATTAGACAATTCTTGCTTTAATTCTTTTTAGTGTTTTGGCATGCATAACTTGGCCTTATCCTTTCCATTCATGCCATAAACATTCTAAACAAATACATTGCATTATTGGCATTCATATACATAATTTACATAATAAGAGAATTATGCATAAATTCTTAACTAATCATTAACATCAATAATACTCTACTTCCTTCTCTTTCCTTCTCATTCTCTCCTTCATGCAATCATTGTGCATCATTGATTGACCTAAATAGTTAGTTAGGGAGGGGTAAGATTTGAGAGAATCTCAGTAGCAAACAATAACCACCTAAACATACATGGCAAGCTTGGCATTTATAACATGCTTGCAACTTAACATCTTTATAACATAATGACATGTTTAGAAATCATCGTGCATCTATCATAAAACACATAGGCCTATGGCATATTTCAAACACATTTATAATCACAACACATGAGTTCATAAAATTATATAATATAGAAACATATCATACATGCAAGCAAATACCAAGCACATAAGAGTAAGGTTGAGTTTGTTACCTCGTGTCTTTAAACTTTCTCTTTACTTTCCCTTGCTCCCTTTGCTACCAACCCATTAAGGTTTCTTGCTCAACCTTTTCCATTCATCTTTATCGATGTCTCATGACCCTAAATGCATCAACATATCATTTCCATTCATTTATTAGAGCTATGGTAATCAACAACATCAACACTTTGTTTTCTCTTAACTATATTAACTTCTAAACTTTGAGCTTGATTTACAATCTTTCTAAAATTAATTCCACATGCTATTCCCACACAATTTTGCATGTAGAATCCATTTCCAAGCTCAAAATAATCAAAATCAAACTCTTTCATCATGAACCAGCCTTGACCGAATAGTATGCCTTTAGGGTCTAAAATTTCTATTTTCAATGCCTCCAAACTTGTTTTCTCACCTTTACCCCACATAATTTTTCATTTTAAATATATTGGAAGCATTAAAATCATCAAAATCACATCCTAGGCATAAGAACCAGGTCTGGCCGAATTACTACTCAAGTTGCACAATCATAAAATTCAAATAATGTCAACATAAAACCACTTGATTCTTGTTCCTCTCAAGCCTTTAAACATTTTTCTAACATCAATTTCATCTTCCCCTTAACTTAGAGATCTCGTGCAGCATACCCCCCCAAGGGTTTCAAGCTCTCAAAATCATTAAAATCCATAACCAAGCTCAACAACAAGGGTAGTGAAAACTACATTAACAACCATGAACATACCTTATTTTAGAGCTTGATCTTGCATGGGGTCACTTGACCTTTCTCTCTCCTTTTTTCTCTCTCTAGAATTCATTTTGCAAGAGCTTCCCCATGGTTTCCATAAGCTTGGACGAAATTGTCACATCCCGAATTTTGGGCCTAGAAGTACCTAAGTTAGCCTGAAATGGGAAGGCTACCAGACCTTTCTTGGCAGAGGTCCTGGAGATTCCTTGAAAGAACAAAGGGATTCTTAAGGACTCACTCGCAAAGGGAAATTTTTTGGGACTGAGAAAAGAGAAAGTTAGAGACTCTAATGACGTCTCGGGACCCAGGAATGAGAAATAGAGATAAATGTAAGCCAAAGTTATGTTGAAGGCCTTAATGAGGTGAATTTTGAGGTTAAGCCAAGCCAGGGGTAAAATTATAATTTTGTAAAGTTTTGGATTGGTAAGGGTAAAAATAGAAATTATGCTGGAAAATCCCAAAAAAATCCCAAAAAATGGGAAATGGTAGGTTAAGGCCTGAATAGCTTAGAAAAATTTCAGAAAAATAGAAATAAGGTTCAGAGGCTTGTATGAGGTGAAAAATGATGAAAAAGCCCCTAGAAGGAAATTGTGGAATTCCCAAGGTTTTGACTGATTTGGAATACTTTCAAAAATAAATTATCTAAAGTATAGGGAGGCCTCAAATAATTGGAAGAAGATGGGAAAAAATAATTGAGGAATTATCACAAGTTTTAAAAATGATTCCGTCCTCAGAAAGCGAAGAGGTTGGCTTTAATAGAATTTAAAGCCTATTTATACATTATCTGGGGAAAGTCAAAGTCAAAGGTCTAGAGGTTGACTTTTGACTTGAGAAAAATTAGAGGAATTCCCCGTGATGAATAAATAGTATTAGTACCTGGAGATAGATTCTCAGAGTTGTGGACCGAAAGAAAAAATTCGGTCAAGATCACTCCGAAATAAATATTATTAATTATTTTAATGGAAGAACAAGGGAAGAGCATTGCTCTCTCTTTGGGCATGTTATATAATGCCATGTAGATTTATTTGAGGTGAGAAAATGGTGCCATAACATGTCCCAGTGGTCTCGGGTAAGTCAAGACCTGAAAAAGTACCCTGCACGGTGCAGAATGACAAGATAAGTGGACGAATACCTAAGGGTTGTATTTTGCACGAATTTTATATTAATTTCCTCCCTATTTTAATGCTAAAATGATGAAGAAATATGGAGGAGACAATTGTACGGTTAGATGGGAAAAGAAGGTATTACGTGTACGGTTGCATGCAAGACACGTGTACTGTTAGATTAAAGGCATGTGGATTGGTGATGTAAGCATGATGTAATCAAGATGATGATGTAAGCATGATGTCATGGGACACTTGTCACCATAAGATTAAAAGAGAAAATGAACGGTCCAGATCAAGCCACATATTTTTAAGATCAACAGCCCAGATTCAGTCTTGTTTTCTATAAATACCCCCCTCATTTTCGTCCAACCTAGAGGAAACCTTGGGGAAACTATGGCAAAATGGTCTCTAGAGAGAGAAAGAAGAGGGAGAAAGAAAGGCCAAGTGGTCATATACAACATCAAGCTCCAAAATAAGGTATGTTCATGGTTTTTGATGTAGTTTTCACTGCCCTTATTGTTGTTGAGCTTGGTTATGGATTTTAATGATTTTTAAGAGCTTGAAACCCTAAGGGGTTATGCTGCACGAAATTCTTAAGAGTGGGGAAAGATGAAATTGACATTACAATAATGTTTAAAGCCTTGAAAGGAATACGAATCAAACGGTTTTATGCTGAAATTGATTGAATTTTATGATTGTGTAACTTGAGGAAATGTTTCAGTCAAACCTGGTTCTTGTGCCTAGGATGTGATTTTGATGATTTTAATGCTTCTAATGTGTTTAAAATAAAAAATTGTGTAGGGATAAGATGAAGGAATGAAGTTCGAAGCATTGGAATCGAAACTGAAAATCAATTGGCAGATTTTGGTTTTGGCCTAGGACTAAGGGAAGGAACTGGGTTTTGATGAATCTAAGCTTATAGTTGGATTCATTGGGCAAAATTGTGTAGGATTGGCCTAAGGGAACATTTTTTACAAAGCTAGAACACTATATTATAAATTAAGGAAAAAGGGATTAAGTTTAAGGACACAAGTCTTCTATATTGTGTAATTCTTGGTCCTAATGAGTAATGTGACCCTTGTGGCTATGATTAGGACCTTAAGGCATCCAAGAGAAGGTTTGGATGTAGTAGAGCAAGCAACCTTAATGGTTGGAAGCAGAAAGGAGTAAGAAGAAAACTTAAGAACATAAGATAGCAAACTTTAAAATGATAGGTAGATCGCCTCAATTGGATGTGTATACTAAGAGATACGAATTTCCAAAATTGACGTAAGAAATCTGGAAGATCCAAAATTGACCAAATGAACAGTGATTTTCATGGAATAAACTGTATGAATTGGCAAGGATAAGTCCAGTTTCATATTTTTTTCCTTGTGGAGAATTGGAAGAGCTTCAAATAGAATTTTGAATCACCTCAATATGATTTTTATAGAATTAGTTATGATTTTTTGAAATTGGACCAAAAATCTGAAATTTAACTAGTAAACAGTAACCTAAGAACTAATTGCAAATTTTCAATCTACGGACTTGGTTCGTGAATCGCTTAAACTGTAAGCCTTTTAAATGTGTACTCTGAGGGGTTAAAGGAAGGATGTTTCAAAAATGAGGGGTGGGGAGGGGGTATTTATAGAAAACAAGATTGAATCTTGGGTGTTGATCTTAAAAATATGTGGTTAATCTTGATCGTCTATTTTTTTTTCATCTTGTGATGACAAGTGTCCTATGACATCATGCTTATATGTCTTCAATCTAACAGTACACGTGTCCTACTACTAGAAATTTCTAACATTATCCATGAATTTTGAATTTTATTTAATTAATTTCTTTGAGTAAGCAGTGTCACATCTGACAATAGGGTAATTAGGAATAAGAAATATTTCTAAATAATTAAGGGCAAAAAATTAGAGGTGAGAATTAGGGCCGGCCTGACCCTCCAAGGTTGGCCCTTCAGGGTTGGTAAGCTTAAAAGGGCTGGCCCTCCAGGACCGAAATTTAAAAAATACCCCAATTTGCTAGGCCCAATTCCTAAGCTAACGGGCTCAAGGCCAGCCTGCGGGCTTTTGGCCAGTTTAAGGAAAAAAAAAGCTATTTTTTTTATATTTCTTATATTTTTTTATCAAAAAAATGACAATAAACCAATGAAATTGTTAATAAAAGATATAAATATGAATAAAATTAAGTCACAAATACAAAATACCATTATATATAAATATCTATTAATATCCAAGAACATCTGAAACATCTATTAACAAGATAACAACATCTAAAAGTTTTATCTATAGTACAATTGTGCAATAAATAAACACTATCATTAAGTTTTTGAAACTTCATCATCACTATATTAATTACTTTTCTTCATAAGAATACTTTTCTTTCATAACAAAATATCAAGTTTTTCTTCTTTATAGGAATTTTACTTTTAAATTTTGTAATCTAGCTATTATTTTACTTTAATACGAGAAACATTGTTGTTGAAACTCATAAATTTCTAATTCAAATTATAGAATCACAAGTTATATAAGTATAAAAATACTCTATTATCAAATATATATAGTTTAAAAATATCAACACATATAATATAAATTAAATCATTATTAAAGTCCAAATTACCCATTTTTTAAAAATTTAATTGGATAAATTATTATCTAAAACCAAATAAATCAAATCATTCTATAAAATTTAATTTTAAAATGATAATAATAACTAAAAATTTGAAATATTATTAGCAATGTAAAAAATTAATAATATTAGAATTATATAAAAAAATTTAAAAGAACAAAAAAAATTATAAAAGGGCCGGCCCTTTTAAGCTCTCGACCCTCCAGGGCTTATTTCCTATTTGAGGGAAAACATTTCAAACCCGGTCCTCATAATTTTAGGGCCTAAACGAGCCGACCCAACGAGCTCAAGCCTTTTTTCTGGCTCTACCAAAAATGATGAGGAGAAATAGAAAAATTTGGTGAAAAATAATTATTATAATTTTCTAAGTCAATTATGAAAATTTGACTAATTAAGGAAAATTGGTCAAAAAATATTTCCAAGCCTTAGAAAATTAAGAAAAAATAAGGATAATATCTTTTTAGAATTATATGAGATTATATAATTATTTTTATGGCCAAATTACCCTTAGAAAAATTACAAAGAAATTTAAGGGTAATTTAGGCCAATTTAAGGGTTTTATTTGGAAAATTCCAAATAAATATTTTTAAGAAGAATAAAATTCCAAGAAAATTACTATGATATCTTAAGGAATTATAAGAGATTATAGAATTAAAAAAAGACCCTCAAATATCCAAGATTTTTTCTAATTTCTTTGAAAAGTGGAAAAATCACTAAAGAGAAGGAAATTAGTTTTCTTTTTTATTTAATTATTGGGAATTTAATTTTGAGACAAAAAGGGCATTTTGAGAAGCTAAAAATGAGGAGAATAAATTACGGATCTAACAGAAAATAATTACAAATGCCAGAGTACTATAATTATAGAAAAGAAATTAAACCCGGAGTCAAAGTGCACCAATAAAGTGAAGACTAGAGTTTTGCAATTTAAATGGCTCACATTTTGCCATGTGTCAAGTCTCTAATGGAAAAGATTTAAATTTACCAAGTGTCACTCTTTAAATGGAGAGGATTTTGACTTTGGTAATTAATTTCTTTTGGAATTAGTTAATTAAGCAAGAGAATGCAAGATTAAAGGGGGTAATGACTCTTGGATCTTCATTTATGATGGTGGTTGGGATATTTTGGTTTATTAAAGGAGCACTCCTCCCCCTATTTTTAGATCATTATTTTGTCTAAGGGAAAAGAGAGAGTTTCAAGTGGAATCAAGGAGAAACGCACTAACCTTGATCATATAAGTGAGATTCAAGGTTAGTTTTTGGTTCTAAATGGTTCCTTGTCTTGTTTTCTTGCTTTGTATGGTTGGAATATTTGATTTTTCCTTGTTGATGGTACTAGTTGAAATATATATATGGTAGGGGAAGAAGTTTTGATGGTCCAACTTGTTAGAACACTTCAAAGCATGATAGATCCTAGTGGTTACAAGTGGTTGTAGGTTGTTTTTGAAGTGCTTTCTTTGTTGTGTTTCATGAGGACCATTTCGGCCAAGACCATGGTTGAACCCTATGATGATTTTTTCAATGTTTTGATGCTTCCATTGTGTTCAAAATGAAAAATAGTGTAGGATAAACCTAAAGACTAAAGGTTGGGAGCATTAAAGCCAAAGTTGTAATTTTTAGAAAATAAACCCTAACGGTTCAGCCAAGCTGAAACTGGAAGAGGAATTTTTATTTTCTTAAATCTAAGTACAAATTTGGAATCTACATGAAAAACTATGTAGGAATAAGTCAAGAGAATTTTTAGGGTTTAAGAGACAAAACTCTAAAAATTCAAGAACAAAGGTGGAAGCTTTAAAAGTGTTTAAGAGTTCTTGAGTTATATTGTTGATTTCTATGCGGATTGGTTGATGATCTTGCTGCCATTTTGTGGTTTATTATGTTAGGATTTGACATTTGTGAAGGGAAGGAAGACAAACAAAGGAAGCTCAAGTCTTTGGAGCAAGGTAACAAGTTCAACCTTACTACTAACATTAACCTTACATTGTTGATTATTACATGATTAATTGCTATTATATGGATGAACTTTGCTAATTGTGATGTGGCTGGTCTTTGCACTTTCTTGCTTTGGCCTTTGCATGATTGAGATTGCCAAATTATATGAATGCTAGTTCACCAATGGTAGCTAATGTGGTTATGCATAATAATGATGCTCGTTGATAATATAGTTGGTTAATTTGCTATTAGGGCCTGACACTTCCAAGGGAAAGCTGTAAATTGAAGGTTAAATTATGTTGCCAAACCATAAAAATTCATCGACTTTTAGTTATGTAAATATTCAGCTTGGACAGTGCTGTAAACCTAGTGACACTATCAACTTTAAGTGACATTTCAATTAAGTTCTTGGATGCTTTTATTCATGAAATGTGTAGATCACATCCTAAGCTTCATTTTGATAGCTAACACATTAAAATTGGCCAACTACACGATTTTTAATGATTTTTCAAAGTTAAGGTCTATAATCTGGAAAATTTTTTTTTAGTTTTTTACTAAAGGACAGAGGTGATTTTCACAAAAGCCTGACACTTCTTCAAATGGAATTGGTTTACAAGATTATTTTTCCTTGAAATAGCATTCAAAGAGCTATTTATAGAATTTTGAACCCCTCCATTTCGACTTTTATAGATTAAGTTATGAATTTCTAAAGTTGGGCCAAAAAAACTGGATTTTTACCTGATGAACAGTAAAAATCCGAAAATCAGCGTTTTTGTGATAAAATTGAGCCCAAGACCATCCAATGTGTTCTAAAATAATTTTAATTGAACTCTAAGTCGAACTGATAATATGGTGTAACAGGCAGCAAGTCACAAAATTGGGCTCTCTTCTAGGCCCAATATGGGTCCCACACATAGTCTAGGATGGCCCAAAAAGTTAACCCACAAACCAAATCATAATTCCAAACCATTCTGACTCCTTTTTCGGTTACTATTCACTTGTAACATTCTGTAATTTTTCTAGGCCTCCAAAAATTTATTTCTGTCCATGATAAATCCCCTTTTCATATAAGACTATGATTTAAAAATTTTCAAAATTTTTCTCCACCTCTAGGTATTTATTTTGAATTTTCCCCTGATTAAGCCTTTATCATTAAAACTACAGGAAATAAATTTTCTAAAATTAATTCTTGTACTTCCAAGGCATATTTTTTTCAAATTTATTGAGGCCTCTAACTATTTTAAATGATTATTTTCCTCCAATTTTTTCATTATTTTTTTTTCAAAAACCTCCTTTTTCAGAAAATTCCGTAATAAGCTATTTTATACTATTTTCACCTTTTGGGCCTCAATTGAGATTCCAAAACCTCTAATTTACACCTTACTATTTTTTTTAAGAATTTTCAAGCATAATTTTCATTTTTTTCCTTTCCGGCATGAAACTTTGCAAAATTATAATTTTGCCCTGGTTTGGCTTAATCTGAAATTTGCCTCGTTGGGGCCTCTAACATAACCTTTGACCTATATTTATTTCTATTTTTCATTCCTGGGTCTCGAGACTTCATCCAAGTCTCTAACTTCTTCTTTTCTCAGTCTCAAAAAACTTTTCCTTTGCAATTTAGTCCCTAGGAATCCAGAGAGTCTTTGGGGCCCCTACCAAAAAAGATTTTATAGCCTGCCCATTTTAGAGTAATTCTAGTACTTCTAGGCCCAAAATTCAGGATGCGACAGATTTTATTTTTAGTTTTTAGGCCTCAAGTCCTGTTCCTTGCCCTTTACTCTATTTTTCATAATTTTCTGATCTTAGATGTACCTTCCTATACTGATCAATATTGACCAGATATTTTAAAATAGCAGTCCATCCTAGATCTGATCTTAGTTGAAAAGTTATCCTGTCTAAGTTTTTACTACGCTACCTAGCCCTTGATCAATTATGATTTCCTCTTTTCCCTAATTAAAATTTACAGCGTATGATATATAGCATCTTATCTTAGGGTTTAATACTTCCAAAAAATAATAAAAACCATCACCAAGCTTTGCAAGACATAGATCATCATAAACTATATTAAAAACCATGATCTTACATTGTCATGAAGTTTGGTCTTGCATGAAACTTGAAGCTCTTCCTCTTCTCCTTCTTGGCCTCAAAATTTCGTGCTCTCCTTGTTCTTTTTCTCTTAGCCATCCAAATACACAAATGAGAGGAAGAAAGGGATATTTATAAGGCTTTAGTTATCATTTACCTTGTGTTAAAATTAAGTTACCATTTACCATAACACTTATCTTCTTCTTAAGCTTGATCCCTTATAATTTAGCCATGTAATTCCATCAAAATACTCGGTATCTTGACCATGTTTTCCCTCTTCAAGATTATGCCACATTGTATGCCACCTAGTTACACTTATGAGTAGAAAGCTTTTTTTATTATATGGTTCAATTTATTCTAAGCATGTTGCTTGGCAAATTACATAACTCCATCCATGTCCCTCATCAAATTAGCATTAAAGTCAAGAGAAAAATAGGGAGAATTCATACTCCCCCTCACCCTTAACTATACCTCCATCTATTTTATAATTTTACACTGTATCGAGTACTTTTTTCAAGTCCTGACTTATCTAATAATCCTGAGACATGTTCTGGCATTCTTTTTTCATCACAAATAACTTTACATGGCATTATATAACATCCATACAGATGGATGGATGCTCTTCCCTTTGTTCCTTCATTAAAACATTTAATGATATTTAGTTTAAGTAAACTTGATTGAATTTTTTCTACCAGTCTAAACTCTAAATATTGTCTCTAAGGACCACTACTGTCTTTTCATCATGAGGAATTTCTCTAATTTTTTTAAGTTAATCTATAAGTGGTTTATTTTGACTTTCTCAGGATAATGTATAAATATGTTTTAAGTTCTGTTAAAGCCAACCTGTTTGCTTTTTAGAGATGAAATCATTTTTAGAACCTGTGATAATTCTTCAAGTATTATTATCCATTTATCTTTTATTATCTAAGGCCTTCTCGTATTTTAAATAATTCAATTTTAGCTAATATTCATAATCAACCAAAATCCTGGGAATTTTATAGATTTCCTTTAGGGGTATTTTCATTATTTTTAGTCTCATATGGGCCTCGGAACCTCATTTCCTATTTTTTTTGGAATGCTTTGGAATTTTGGGAAGTACTTTTCATCATTGCCCTTTCTGACCCCAAATCTTCTAAATTTACAATTAGGTCCCTGCTTGGCTTTGACATCACGATCATCTCACTGAGTTCCCAACATAAGCTTAGCCGTTAATCATCCTTAATTCCTATGCTTGAGCCCTTAAAACTTCATCAGAGTCTCTAACTTGCTTGTCTCGTAGTTCTAGAAAACTCTTGCTTTGCAATTTAGTCCCTAGGAATCCTTTTATCTTTCTAGGAAACTTCTAGAACCCCTGTCAAAAGGATTCTAATAGCCTATCCATTTTAGGCTAGTTCTATTTTTTCTAGGCCCAAAATCTATGATGTTATAATTCTCCCCTTCTTAATAAAATTTCATCCTCAAAATTTTAGATTAATCTTCTTTCCATACCCTTCTTTGAGGGGCTAATTAAGAAGAATACCCTGACTTATAATTTACTTTGGCTATTAACTTTTCATTGTGCCTTATTGCTAAGTTTTGATCCTAGGATTAGTACTTTCATAGCTTATTGTTCCAGACTTTGCTGTCATTTACACAAGCAAAATCCTCACCTTTAAGCATTTTATCGTTGCTGCTCACTTTCTTTCTATTATTTAGGCACATTCTTTCATAAT